AGAATACAGACTGAGAAACTGTTACATAAGGAAAATTTTGGTGTCATTTCCAGTGTGTGGTAGACTGTAAGAAGGTACTTGAAATGTCCACAGGCGTCTTAACCAAATTGCTTCCCATGCAAGAGCATTCTCAGTGTGCTGGTGCCTGGGAGACGGTGCCTGGTATAAATGACTCTTCCTGATCTTCAGGGAGCCATCTGCCAGAATGCTGCATCTAAAGTGCTAATTAACCAGAAACAAAACAGGGGATCAATAAAATATCTGCCCATTGTTACTTTAATAATTTCACATTCCTACTTCATCCCTCACTCTTCCCTAAATCTTCTTTTTATTCTCATCAAGGGGATAATAATTTTGGCCCCTATTGGCATTCAAACTAGGTTGACATGCACTGGCAAGTGTAGTACTGGTCTTTTCTTCATGTGTCAAATGCACTATCTGCATAGCAGGACCTGCTGCTTGAGTTTTGGCCTAGTAAGGGTTGGTATTTTGTTTTGTTTTCATTTCAGTGAGTGGTGTTACCTTAATATAAATATAATCTTTAAAACACTGATCATTACCTTACCAAAACTGCAGCTAGACAGAAGGATTTTGACTAACAAACAACTCTTAAACTAGCCCTGCTACCAGTTTTCCAAAGAAATCTTACAATAGAATATCTCAAAATCTTAGAACAGAGTATCTCGAGAATATCATCTCATATGAAGCATTGACTTCAACTCCCTGCTCCTCACAGGGCTACATAAAACTAAACCATATGTCTAAGAGTATCATCCAGATGCTCCTTGAACTCTGAAAGTCTTGGTGCCATAACCACTTACCTGGGGAGCCTATTCTAGCGACCAGCCACCTTCTCAGTGAAGAACCTTTTCCTAATGCCAAATTTGAACTTCTCTCGATGCAGCTTTGTTCCATTTTCTCATGTCCTATCAATGGTCACCTGAGAGGAGATCAACACCTCCCCCTCTCTGCCCCCTCTTAAGAAAGTTGTAGACTGCAAAGAGGTCACCCCTCAGCCTTCTTTTCTCCAGTCTGAACAAGCTAAACAACCTCAGCTACTGCTTTTGAATTTTACCCTCTCAATTGTCTACCAATGCCAAACCTCCTCCCACCTCACTGAGGTGTCCTAAACCTCCATACCCATAAAGCTAATAGCATTGAGGCCCAGTGTCATTCACCCATTTCTGTCTTCATGCCAACGCTAGTTCAGCAATACCTACATTCTGGATGGCACTTAATAAACCATTCTTGGTTGCAGGAACAGTCACATAAGACAGGCTTTTATGACAAACTTTTCCTCAGTCGTGTGTCATGATCTTTCTGCAGATCTAGGATGCTCTTTTCTTTCTGTGTGACCTCATGTCAAATATATTTTGGGGCATTAATGCCCTATGGTTTAATTAGTATGGCTGCTTCTCTTTCTCCGTGGGGCTAGGCTGAGGAGTGACCTGACATGGCAGTGTCAGATCTGGGAAATTAATTCCCAGACATTTCCTCCTTCATCAGTCATCAGCTATCTGCTGCCCTCAGACCTGATAATTATACAGGCACTTCAGATAGGACTTACTAATGAAAGACCATGGAGTTTTTGTTCTTATTCTCCTGTTGCGGATGTGTCTGCTTCTCCTAAAGCTTAGCTGCTGTGAAGTTAGACATTAACCCCAAGGCAGTCATCGTTTTCTGCCTCTATAGTCAGCAGGGAGACAGAGAGAGAATCTGATCTTCCCAGAGTCATTCATTTCATTCTAAAAAAGACATCTAAAATAAGCAGGTATTAAGACAGTAATTCCAGAAGTTGGTTTATCTTTGGTATTAGGAGCCTAGAGCTTTATTTGTGCCAGCTAAAGCTAGCTCCTGTTAATCTGTCCTAAATGTGGGCTATTCTTGCCAGGAAAAATGTGCATCTTTCTGGCATATCTGCTTGCTCCTGGTAAAAGCTCACTGTAAATATTTATCAAGAAAGAGACAGAAAGGGTGGTCACAGTTGGGAGATTTTGAGACCTACATCTTTGGTGTCTGCTCTTTGCTGTTTTGGTGACAGGGAGGTGAGAATTGCAGAGACATATGAGCTAAAGAAACAAATACAAAGTGCTCTCGACTCCCCCACAGCATTACCTAACTTTGTGAGGAAGCTGTGAAATCTAATGCTTTGTTAACTTTTAAGTCACATGAAAGCATTAGTATTTAACCTTCTATATAAAAACACATTTTAATCAGTTTACACAGTTGTGAACAACTCTGATAGTAGCGGCAGGCTGCGAGAATGCAGAGGTGTGCTGGTTAGCACATGCTGGCCCCATACACTCACCATCATCATGGCAAGAGCATCTCACTACTTAAGCCTTGAAGACCTGCAGAAAAGGCACGGAAGAAGGAAAGCCCTACAATTAGGGTGACATAGCATTTTACCACAGACCATTGCCCAGTCTGCTGCATAGGATGCATGAGGCCCAGCAGCCACTGCTTCCAGCTGGGTACTCTGTCCTCATTTGTGTGTGACTCATAAAAAATGAATCTGCTAATATTAGGTGGTATCCATGGAATGGGGTGGAAGCTTACAAATTTATGTGCTGGATGTCTTAACTGGATGGCAGAGCCACTCCACACCAGCTGGTGGTAGCACTTTACACTCCCAGTACATTTAGTGTGCTGGTTATATCGAAGTTTGAGCATGTCCTCAAAGGCAGGGTTTGCAGCTTAGAGCCAGCTCCATCCCTGGGGCTGTGTGCCTGTTTCACCATGTGAAAAGAGCATGGCCAGAGTGCAGAGACCGATGCCTGGCTGGGGAACAGGCAGACCCAGCCTCCCACTGCTCCCTGGCCTCTGCACACAGGTGGTCCGAAACTGCTGGCAGTGAACATGTTGCCTTAAAAATGGCATTTATCTGCATCACTTACGAGAAGAGCTTCCTTGTTCATGTGTTGTTTGCTACGCTGCTGACCATCTGAGAGAGAAGCAACAAAGCACTGCACACAAGTCTGTAAAGAAAATGTTTTATTTAAAGTGTTAAATACCATCACCAGAATGAGTTTGATTTACATTAGTTGGTGTTCATTACAGGCCTAATCTGCTCCATTTTTTTCCCCCCCCAACTGTAATTCCTTTTAACTTTTTAAAACGTACTATGTACAAGACAGCAGTGATCACTGGAATAGTGCTATTTACATGACTAAACCATAAGTAGAGTTGCAGACATGTGAAAAGTAAAAAAAAATACATTAATTTTTTTAAAATAAATACTGCATAATGACAAGTATGTACAAACCTTCCATGCGTCATATCTTTGATTTTAAAATTTGAAATAATTTATAGAGGACTATGCATACAAGAATGCGTGAGCACATCTCACAGTATCAAGAAAATGGTTATGTATTTTTGTTTAATATCCTAAGGGATATTGCAGACTGCATGTTAGTAGTATTTATTTGCTGCTGGTAGACAGGTGTCTAAATTATTTCAATAAATATAATTTTACCAGTCTGTCCATTAACAATAATCCATTATACAAACTCTGAAGACAAGACACAATCTTGATTTATATGATATTGCACAAAGTAAAAGGCATTTTAAGTGATACTGTTATTACTTTTGCCCTTGTATGAGGCATGTACAATTTCTTAATGGGAAAATTCACTAGATTTTCAAATAAGTCAGAATAATTCTGTGTGGCCTTAGAGGTAAATGTAATGTATATTTCAAAAAATTATTGCAAAGTTTCAACATTAAACCTTAAACAGGTATTAAAGGCATACAAAGACCCAGAAAAAAAAAAAGGTATTTTGTTATTAAATGTTAGCCACTTACGTTCCCTTTAAATAATGTAATTTAATGAGAAGCTTGAACTTGCAGCACCACCCAACGGTAGTTACTGTCTGCTACAAAAACCAGGCTTTTGAAGATCCGTTGACTGCAGTGAGGGTTCTGGTAATAATGTCAAACACCTGTCAGAGTGGTACTGATAAGCTTTCTTTAAGGCTATTTTACGAAGCAAAGACTGATATTTTCCAGATTGATATTACCTAATTATGTCTTTTGCAACACAAATGTAGTGCATGAAAATTGAACTTTACAGCAGAACTGTACAAATTAGTAACCTTTGTTGCTTTTGCAATCACAAAAATGTAGCAATTAATTTGGTTTAGTGCAAATAAAAGTGTTTAAATTTATTTCCTAAATATCAGCCAGGTACTTCATTTTTCATCTTTCCAAAAACCTTCAAGAAATGATAGTTCAACCATTGAATGAAAGATGCTGGTGCTGAAAACAAATTTATCGAAGACATCATGAATGGCCACATGATTCCAGTATTTTGCTGTAGAATTCAATTTGAAGGTGAGAAAAAATGAAAGTAAGTTACCATGCACTGTACAATAAATTGCAAAAAGTTCAAATATCTTCTTTATCAAATACATGCTGAATTACATTAATGTACTCCCAAGCCATGTTGCAAAATCTCCTTTTCAACATGCTTGAAAAAAAATAAGTTCTTAAACAATATTTTTCTCAAGAAATGCAGAGCAATCTGCAACCCTGAACCAAATATGGGGCGTAAGAGACTAATAAGTCAAAAGGTAGGCATTTTAGAATATGATGATCATCCTGGGAGGCAGAGGGGAAAAAGAGCCAAAGGAAGAAGGGAGACTGAGAGGAGAGATAGAGAAAGAAGGAGGTAAAAGAAGTATACAATTTGCACATTATGTTGAACTTTACAAGGCTTGTACCTTTTACATTTAAATAAATTTAATATATTACACTTATTTCTTGTCACATAAACAGAATTTTAAATATTTGCTAGAAATTATTTTATTTTTAATATACGTCTGCAAAAATACAGACCATGACTGGTTTAAAGAATGATAAACGTGGTGTGTCTTTGTATCACCCTGTTGCATTCTCTTCCCTTTAAAACCATGCACTAATGAAATTTATTTTTAAAAATAATATAAATTGTTGAAAATGGCTGATTTTTTCTTTTTTTTTTTTTTTTTTTTTTTTTTTTTGCAAGTTGCAGCCCCAAGAAAATAATTTAAGTGTTCAGCTAAATCTGTGTCCATGCAAAAAAGTTTCTTTAATTTCATATAGTACGGTATATCCACAGAACTTTATTTTTTAGAGTCCATCATATCTGGGGTTTCACTGTATCTATAGCTGGAGGTATGAAGCCCGCCACTTTAAAGTGTTGAACCTTTTCAGTATGAAGAGTTTTCAGATCTCAAGCAACTGTTTCAAACAACAGTCGACTTCTCCAGCATCCTTACATTCTTCTTTTCCTCCAATGCCTGCTAATCCACTGACTTGTAACATGGCTTCATGGGAGGGTAACTCCATTTCTGTGGCATAACCAAGCTTTAGGAGGGGAGGGCAGATAAATAAAGAAATGGGAGCAACAAAACAGATATGCCATTGAAAGGACTTTTGTTGCATGAAACAGATTGATTCTTTTAGTTTAGTCCATGGCTTCGGATCGGACCAAAACTGAGTGTCCCTGAACTCCAAACCTATCAGTTCCTCATGACTTCTGTCCTTCACCTGAGGGCCTTCCATAGGGCACAATGTGTGCAACTTCCTTGAGAACACAGGATCGCGTTGCAGCCCTAGAAACAGGCTCAGAAGACACAACATAAAGCATGCAGTGTTACCAGGGTTTGCGACCTGTAATTTTATTGTTTTGTAACGCTGGTTGCTATGACAACAGTTTCACAGCTGCTATGAGCGAGCATACGAAGGTCCTGTTGAACTTTCAAGAGATGATTGGGAAGCTCTTCTAGTGAGAGGAGCTAAAGTTGGGTCTACTAGCGAAGAAGGAGGGAAGAGTTTGAACCACCCAATCACCATGTTGGACAGGTCCAGTTCATCTAAAAGTATCTGTGCCACTCCCATAAAGGACTTGTGATCCATACGTCCATAGTCTCCCCAAACAATTATCTGTTAGCAAAGGAAAGACAGAAAATAGAAAAAAATCAGCAAAAATTATGAGAACTTCAATCTGATTTATCAAATGTCTCTGCTTATTTAATTATAGTAAGGAATGACATATCTGACTTCTGACATAGTTTAGTTCTGTGTACACTAATCATGATGCAGCCGCGGAGATGACCTGGCAGTAACAGAGCAGTTACCCACGACACTAAAGAAAGTCCAGTGAGAGACAGAGCTCATCTGTATAGTAGAAGCATAATAATCTACAACTTTTGCTCAGCACTTTCTACTCTCATCAGCAATTATCACTCTATGATTTATCTGCTCAACAAGTATTTGAAAAGCAGAACTTGCCAAATGCAGCATGAAAGGAAGTTTGAAACTCATTCAGTGAAAACTGTGCAGGTGAAGTTTTCAGATTCAGAAGAATATTGATGAAAATTACCTGTAAAACTTTTCCTTGGGGACTTTCTTCAAATGATAGAAGCTGCTGATAAAGTGGTTCCAGCGTTTTTCTTGCTACCTTTGTTTTCTTTTTGGCTATGCAGACTCCATTTTCTAATAGATACACCTTTACATATGGTGCTTAGAAGAATGAAAAGAAGTAACAGCAATTAAAGAAGAAGTGGAGATTTTTTCATAACAGATGCACTGTTCTATCACCATATGATAAAATCTGCCTTTTACAGAATATGTAACTTATGCAAACAAATCTCCACACGCAATGTTAACACTTATCCACACGCAATGCATCCATGCATTTTCTTTTCTTTTCTCCCTGGTACAACTTTTTCTTTACGTCTTTTTATATCTCTCTTACCATAAAACAACTCAGATTCTGACCTGCAAAAAAAAATCATGTAGTCCTATATATAGTATCCCTATACTGTATACTATGCAAAATAGGCCTGTTAAGTAAATTAATGACTTGCATTGACTTTGGTGAGATTTGGATCAATGCTCCAAATTGTTAATAATTTAAAATTATCTACAAGGTGAAAATCAGTGAAGAAAAGACTCTGACACAATTTCTATTTTAGCAGAAGAGCTTGCTAAAAATATGATTATATTGTCCTTTTCACATAGTGTTATAGGACATCAGATTATAAAATAAGGAGTAAGTATCAAATACTGGTCTACTTTTCTAGTGGGTTCCTATTCCACAGCTCTTGTTGATTCCCTCTTCATTCCTAAGATTCTTATATTTCATCTTCATTACGTACCTTACTTTTTATGCCATAACCCGGGCTGCGTTTGCTATTACTAAAATACTTTTGTGTCTTCTGGTAGCCCAGATACCAGTGTGATTTTCATTCCCCTTGAAGTAGGGTTGATTTTTTTTTATGCCATTTCAATACATTACGAATTTCAGTATACGATACTGTAATCTGATAAGTGAATTTGCTAGGAGTTTACTTAAATTGAACAGTAAAGCCCAAGAAGTTGGGGCTTTGCTACATTATGCTGCTGAGACTTTTCTTCCTTACCTGGCAGTGTCTTTGAACCTGGTTTTACAACAAGGCCACGGGCTCGGATTATTTCTACTTCCAGTTGTCCTTTCTTGTCCATCATTCCCACCTGGATATCTCCTAGACAACAAAAAGAAATCTGGCATTGTAATTCAGAAATACATAAATAGATTAAAAACTATGTGAATTTATAGGATGAATACATAATAACTTGTATTGTCTGCATCCCACCAGGAAGTATGATCTGGATTTTAACACTACTAGATAATTTAATACTTATGATCTTCACTGCTATTTACATTAGTAAACAGTTAAAAAACCCTGCAATAACATCTTATCTCCCATTTCCCATGCCCCATCACTTCAAATTAAATTTTTTTGTCTTAATTTCAGATTGAAAAGGCAGCAAAGGAATTAGTACACAGCAGCTCTGTAAAAATGCTTGAAATCTCTTCACCGTGCCTCTAGTTTAAGACAAGGTATGAAAGGATAACTTGTGAATATAAAAGTGTGTGAGCACAATAACAACCAATACTGTACACCTAAATTTCCCTTTTTATTCAATACTACATTTTAAAGATGGAAAACTGAAGAGAGAAAAGACTGAACTTGTCAAAGCCCCTTTCTACTTTTGAGTGCCTTAATGAGCACCCGCAACTATGGTCAGCTTGACTGAGATTGTATTTTTGGTCTTAACTGAGTTGTTCAAAACCACATGGGAGATTCGTATTTAAAGACTTCAAATCTAGATAACCTCTACGTTCTAATTACCAGACCCAGTGAGTTATATCATACCTATAGGACATAAATGCTTACCCATTGATGGTGTTGCCAAAGTCTGTCGTCCCACAAGCTGGGCAGGACCAAGTCCATCCAGAAAATCACTGAACTGGCTGTCTGCAGCCAACCTCACACCGGGGAAGATCAAACTAAAAAAAAGAAAAAAAGAAAAAAAATACACTTGTATTTGTCCTTTTTTGTTTTCTAGATGTTTTGCACTTAGTGTTTTTGGTTTTGGTACTACTGCTCACAAGAAACTTATTCACATTGACAAGATTACAATTACTGTAATTTTCAGAATTTCACATTGTTCAACAAGCAGCAATTCCACCTCCAGCATAAACAATCAGGTGAAGGAAGCACTAATCCTCACTATATCTAATTTCCACATTAATATTTTTCCCTCCTGGTCTCTTTTTCCAATATATTACAGACCATTATTAATTATTGTAGTATTCATATGAGACCAGTTCAGTAAGATACTAATACATACCCTTGCCAGTAATTTAGTTACATGAAGGTAATATTGCTCATGTTTCTCAGTCAACGTGAACTCAATGGCTGAATGTCAAACGTATCCAGCAAAATTATTACATTAGACTGAATACTGGTCATTATTTTTTAAAATCACCTTTTAAAATCATCATTCATTATAAACATCTTGTTAAAAATGTCTTTGGAAATGACATCCATTCAATAATGGAACTGAAATCCATTGTGGCAAATTACCAAAGTAACTTAAAATTCAAATTCTTGCCATAAATTATCTGTGATGCATTACAAGGCAATGAGAACTAATGAGATTTGTAATGACCAACCATAAATAGATGACCATCTCAAATGCATACAATGCATAAAATTGGATGTATAAGACATACATAGATCATCTAGTGTAAGTGGTGGTAGTTGGTGTACCATCCAGTACAGTTGTATCATCCAGTGCTGTGAATATCACTAATAGATCTATCCACAGTAAGATTTTTTGAGGCAATGTCTTGGACATACCACTCAGAAGTCTTTAACTTGGGCTTTTATGAAAAGCATGATACATGACAGCCTCATACTTCTGTCCAGATCATTTCTTCAGGATTAATTAGTAGAATCTTTGAAAAACTGCTGAGCCCAGTGAATGACACCTGGAAATGCTTTGGAAATGCTTTGCTCTGCAAAGCAGACATATGCAAGGAGTTTTAAGAAGATGACCTGTCTTTTTCTGCTTTTACCCGGTGCACTGCACCTGCTTCCCCTCCTGCCCACCACAGGCTGATGGTCTGACCCACCACATGTCTTTCTCATGGCACAGCAGAAATGATCCTCATCCTTCCTTCACCAACCAGGGGAAACTCTTTTGGTCACAGGGGAAGAATTAGGCCTGGTCCATCAATGACACTAGCTTATGAAGGGAATTCTGACTGAACAGGACCTACAGGTCTCACTGAACTTTCGTCTAACTACCAGTTTCATGGAGAAATGTCAGGTAACCACAGTTATAACTGCTGCTTACTTTCCCTCAGAGCTGTAACTGTTCATGCTCCCATCCGTTGACTCCCGGCTGGCCTGACGGGTCATCCAGTTCCTCATCTCCACAGCCAGCCCTGTCTCGGTGCTCCTCTGGACAGTGCTCCGCAGCTTCTTGCCCCCTGCTTCTGTAGAGACAAAAGAGAAGCCCCCATCGCACCATGCTGTCACAGCTGGACAGCCCTGCGGAGCACCACTGCAGGCAGCACACCACCACTCCATGTGTCAGAAACACTCGAAGCCAGAAATTAATGACCTGTACCAGAACTTCCATTTTAAAATTACAATTTTTTTAATAATAGGCAAGCAGCATCGTAAATCTCTTTTTCAGGACCTTAGTTCTGTCACTACCTGTGTCCCAAGGGCAGACAGCATACACACAACAGAAGTCTGCCCACAGAGGTAACCAGATTTACACTATCCATAGTCTAGCGTGTTTATAATGTTTTCTCGGGATGAATACATCCCTCTTAGGAATTCAATTAAAGTGTCACCATTATGTCGAAACCTGCAGTGTCTGAGGAATGTTCTAATTCAGATGAATTATTTGATTTAAAAACATTTGGTCATTACCTGCTAAATCAAGTTACAGATAGCCATTAGTGAGGATAGTAAACAACAAACCAAGAATCTTCTCATGCTTTCTTCTCTATTGTCGTGGTTCAAGCCCAGCCGGCAAC